ATCAACTCCCCATCACAGGATGGGATTTATAATTGATGAGTCCTGTAGGAACAGCTAGCAAGATGTCGTTATCAGAGCTGACAAGATAATACTCTCCAGAACGACCATAGCTTAGCTGTATTCTCATCGTATCTTGGTTTCACCTCTGACATCTTATCATCCATATTTGACTTCGTAGCTTCCACATGATAAATAAACTAAACTATCGCTACAAGGGGGACTATCCTCAACTGACGCATCCTAAAGGATTCGCGGTACACGAGCAACATAGTCGGTTTGAATATACATACCTGGTAGGTGAAATTAGATCGTGGGAAGTTTTCACATTCAAGTATAATCCAAGCAAAAAGCCACCCCTAGTGCTAAGTGGGAAATAAAATGGCGTAAAAGCTTACATAGGATATATAAATACTATATATATATATATATACACACACAAAAGTTAAGGAAACGCAAGACACTACCCCATTTTCAGGCAGGACCAAGATAAGGTGGAGTCCTTGAAGATTTATGTTCTGGCACCTTCTATCGTATCTTTTACACTGGCAACCAACCAAGAGCGGACTATCGTGCTGCCATCTACAATAGCACCGAAACCAATTTCAAAAAAAAAAAATGGCAATCCCATATACTTTCCTAACCAGGGACCGATATAAGTGGTGAATATCGAAGAATCCTGCTATTTATCTGAGGGTGGAGAGATTTTCGTGGCGCACGAGGTGGCACATGCCTAAGGGTCTAATTTCATGATGGTGCCAGTGCTTCGACGCTTTTATATGTAAAATATATTTTCTTATCATTTTCTCATTTCCCGCTATCGGCCCTGAAGAGCGCCCGATAGGGAGGGACGCTACCGAAAGCTGCTGCTACTACTGCTGCCGCTCACAGGAGGGTATCTAGGGGTGGTCTTGCGCGAGGGATGACTAAGGGTGGGCAGCATGGATGAGGTTGGAAAAAAAGGGACCCAGTGGGGGCGTTATGAGCTCGTTACCTCGCGGGAGGATAGACTCACCTTTCGCCTTCGTCTTCTCTCTGGTCTCGATAAGGAATTTGATTTAAAAATTCCGACGATTCTCCCTCCTTCCCCACTGACTTTACTCGTGGCGCCTCCTTTTCCCTCGTCGTTCTGTTTCACCCGGTAAGTATATATATATACCTATATACTGTATACATACAATTTCAGTGTGACAGAGGGAAGGAGGGACGGAGGAAGGGAGCAAGGGAGGGACATACCTAGAGCTGCTTTTATGTAAATACACTCGTTACGCTTCGACGACCAGGAAAATCAGTGCCGAAGGTCGTCCAGCCTCTTCCACCGTCGTGAACAATTTTTATCATCCTTGGCACCAGAAAGAGCGAGGGGATGATGACACGAGTAGCCCCAAAGTCACTTGAGGTCAAAGGTTGTTCCATATACACAGGTCACAAGTGAATATGGTCTGTGGACATTCAATGATTTGCATTGCGTTTCGTTCGAGGATTTTATATTTTTCATAAATCGGGCTCCCTTATATATACGTACTTACTACCCGGCGATTTGTTAAGCATCGTTCAATCGCAAGAAATTTGGAGAACTTCTTGGGAAATCCCTGAAGTTCGACTCCTAGATAGATTTCCCATGCATATTTATGGGCGGTTCGTAATACCCTCACGTTTTTCCCATAACGATTAACCCTCGGCATGGGACGGTTCCTCGCGGTGAGGCCTGGTTCAAATTAATGGTGGGGGGGGGGATGGGCCATGGGGTGCCACCGACTGCTTTATAAGTTCAGCTGGGTAACCACGAGAAGGATTTTTATTGGAAACATGGTAATCGGCTCGTTTCGGACGTCGATGAATTTCTAATGGAGGTTGGTCAGAGTGCTCTCGGTAACCGTCTCTGGTTCTGTTTTCCAAGTGCGGGGCGAATTCCGCAAGAGCCACCCCTTACTTTGGCCAAGGTAACCGAAAGCCTCGAGTGCTAAAAGCTGAGGGTGAGAAGTTAAGGGTAAGGCACTCTTTTCGTCGCTATGCAATTAACTTAATGTCTCCGTGCCATTAGGTTGGTTTCATTGCTGATGGGAACTTCGGTAAACAATGGACAGGCGTCTTGATTGCGACGCCATTGTCTTACACGGGTCTGGGTCACGCCACAACTTCGTTTTATCTACGTGCATGTCCACGCGGCTGTGTACGTCGGTTCATGACGACTGGGACCAAATTGATAATCGATGCCTACGCTCGTCCATCGATCGCTACTCCGAAACTACCTGTAAATACAAAGTAACAAGGAGACAGTAGGTGACAGGCAGTTCGGTAGACCGATTAGAAAAATGTCTGCGACCTAAGTGTGTAGCAGGATCGTGGACGAGGAAGGGTGCGAAATACGAGGATGAGGGTTCAAGAACAGGGAGGTGTGGTCTGAGCCGTACTTCCGGTTGGCTAAGTACTGCCCACAGGGTGTGACACGTGGGTGCGGATCGTACACGTGCATTAACGGACGCTCACCTGCTCCCTGGACTGTCCGACATGTCGCCCGCGGGCGGGCCCCAGTAACTGACACCGGGCCCACTCTTGACCAATCACAATTTCGTTTTATTCTACACCACGTAGATCGCAGGGTTACCCGTGTGAAGGTAGCGCCGAGTCGTGCTCGCTGGTATTTTTGCTGAGTGAGGCCCATCATCATCGTGGGGTCCCCTCGGGCTCAATGGAAACCAAATACCAAGGAGTCCCCGACGGAAGTATCGCGTGCTCACCCGAAAGCAGCTTTACTATGGTTAGCCAATTACGTAATCTGCTTTGTTCCGACCTATTCTTACTCTAAGGTTAGTTTGCGACGTATCTACGGATCAGTGAAACTGGTCATTCACATGATCAGACCTTTTGGGTCCTCTCAACTTAGGGAAGCTTCTGATCTTTTTTTTTCTCTTTTCTTCGCTCTCGTCTTCTAACAAGTTTTTCTTCCATTTCTGGTTACGCCCCGTTGAGCGGGTGCTCACCCGAATGCTTCTTTGTATCGTGTGAAGTCGCCGCGAGAGTGCATCAGCCTGGAAAGTGTTTTGGGTATCTGTCCGATATCAGTCTCGAAGACTTTGATTAGAGACTTATCTTGCGCACCGATAATTACTTTGAGCCAGTGCCGACGGCTCAGAGGTTCCTATTGTCACTGATATCATAGGAACACATGAGACGGCAACCTTTTCGTAAAGGGAATAGAAGCGAGTGTTTTGACGGGTTTGAGGAAGATCGAGTGGGACGATAAGGCCGGGTCACGTTCACTATGTCTGATAAGTCCCAATATCTATCACGTCCTATACGCTCGATTTCTTATACGACAAATATATGGCTGTCCTCAGCTGTGTCCTGTATGTATATTTCATCGAAATCCGTATATTCTCAGATCAATATAACCAGACTGAGTGCCATCGCGAAGCCTACCAGTTTGTAGTACATGTAGTACGTTTAACGACACCTCGCGGGATCGCGTGACGCGAGGCCGCCTTCATATTCAAATTACAGGCTGCCACTCGGCAGGCTCGAGGAACCGAAGAGTTTCCTTCTACGCCATTGCTGCTCGCCCACACCTGCCTGTTCTCCGTCTATAATCTCGTTGCTTACTTACCTTTTTGGATAGTCCGTTTCAGTCGTCCTGCTTACCAGACTGACTTGGCTTATTCATTCGTAATCAGTTGACTGATTGGTTATTCGATTGTTGATTATCACATTTAATGCAGAAAAGCCTGTCGTCGTTATCATTTTCCTGTTATAAATTACAAAAAAAAAATAAATAACGTGACAAATATTTTCTTACTTATAATTTTGTTATCTTTTTTACTCAAGTCCAACGTCCACTTGTTTCGTTAAACTTGCTTGAATTAAATTCAGATTGACATTACAGAGACTAGTTTGAATCCTCGAATATGCATAGGGAAGAATTGCGGTTAATTTGCAAGTAACATCACCATCTGAACTTCCTTTAATTATCCAGTGATTTTGCACAAGACTTGGGAAGCGGATCCGCGCTTTCTACGGTACTTTCTGTGCCGTTTGCCTAATTGGTACTGATAGTCTAATTAGCGAGGGTGAGGCGAGCCTGAGACAGTAGAATGCTCGCCGGTCCTGAAGAGGGAGAAGTCTTTTAATTGCAACGAAACGAGAGCCGTCTTCAGGGTAAGGTTGGGTTGGGGTATACGTACACCAGCATCCACCAGAGGGATTCTGGACGCGGATAGGAAACGAAGTATCCGTGGTGACGCGTCCTGGCAAATAATTCAGTGTGCAAAGCGACAGGACTGGAGCGAAAAATAATGATTATTATAAGGGTGTGGGACTGACAGGGAGGAGAGGGATAAAAATTTCATATGGACCACTGTGGATCGAGTGTCTCCCGAGAGACAATTACACGCCAAAGATGGCGGACATGGATTCCTTTCGTTACCAAGATGTGTACTCGGGCTAATGTTATCTCAAATATCAGCTTATCAAATTTCGTATTTGTGAAACGAGGGCTTGACGAACTTTCAGGTCCTTTTTTTAGCTTTTATAAAATACATTTATAAATTTTTGGTTGATAAAAAAATGACGAAACTTTTTTTTTATTGGGGTTTTTAGGGATAGGCAAGTGTGGGTTTAAATATCCATATGTATGTACACGCTAGGTAGGTTTGTGTCTTAATTGTGACTTGAACGTTGTGTTTTTCTATGTACTCGTTCCCTTGTCTCTAATGGCGTTGTACGCAGAACTACCAACCAGGACGGACTGAAAGTACTCACTTAGTACCTCCCCGACATCATCAAGTATTTATGACGAGTGAACTTAGCTTGTAAATGCGTGGGAGGCTAGGAAGCTTATCGACCACTGATAATGGTAGACGATAAGTTTTGGGCAGGGAGCAACGTTATTTTACGATGGGAGAAACACAAATTAAAGAGACTATCGATGGAAAGAAAAATTGATAGGCATTAAATAAGAAAAAAAAAAGTACATGTGTTACCTGTAATTACAGTTTTGCGTTTTAATTAAAAAAACAATTAATTGGGATATAATTTATAGCTCCCATATATAATTAATATTAACACCCTAATAGTCAGCCACGCAGTACGTTTGCTAATATCTAAATTGTTAATAACAACAAAGAGGACCAATAGGTCAACATAGTTAAACACGGTTTTCCATCTTCGTGACGATTTTAGTGAATTTTTTTATTTAATTTTTTATCAGAACATGATTACACGTACTAGCGAAAATACTTGGATAATAAAAATACGACAGGTATCAGACATCTAAAAAGACCTGGCCGTGCGAAGCCATTGAATGCGCATTAATTGGGCGAATTTAATGGCAGACCGATTAGCGTGTACCATCCTCGACGACAAACTGTTTACCGCCATTACGGCCGGGAGGGTTGTCGAGATTAAATGAGGGGATGTAACCGGGGGATGTTTCTGAGGATTGCGGGCTCGGGAGAAAAGGTGGGTGGTTAGTGGAAACAGGAAGGAGTCCTTCGGAATTGTCCGTCGCTAAATATCCGGAAAATGGTGGAGAGTGAAGACGAAGATAGAAAGATATAGGAGACGAGAGACATTACGGAGGTGAGGTGGGCCAGAGTGAAAAGGTAGCTAAAGGGGTGGTTTATGTTGGCAGGGGGTAGTTTTAGTCGTCTGGCAGAGGAGAGAGAGAGAGAGAGAGAGAGAGAGAGAGAGAATGGCAGGGGCAGGAAGCAAGAAGCGGCTTCGGTTAATCACGCAATTTTCGCCAGCTCCCATTGCCAAGGGGTTGCGAGCGAAAAGGAGAGGGATAATTCGTGGACGGGCAGGCTGGATGGAGCGGGTAGTTCAGGCTATTGAGAGGGTTGGTTAAAGGTGGTGACTGAAGGATGAGAACGAGGTGGAGGCAATGGCGCGGAATGGTGGGAGGCAATTGCTCGTAACTGCCAGAAATCTCCAGCCCACCGGCTGATAAAAAAATGACTTGACTCCAAGTACAAGAGATACCGAACCACCCTTAAATTAGGGTTAGTTTCTTCTCGACAGGTCCTTCCTACTTACGGCTGAGTAAAAAAAGATCGTACGGCCTCTCCGAAGAACGGCCATGAATGCCGAGAAATTAAACTACCCGATCACAGGCTAGATGCCGTGAGTATTTTAAGGGTTGATTTTTTTTTTTTTAACATTTTAGGTAAACTGCAATAATTTCTTCAATTTCGTTCAACTCCAGGTACCGTTATTCTCGCACTTACTGCAAAGACCTGTAACGGAATCAATAGCCCCCTCGTATAGAGTAGTATATCGATCACGTGATAATCGTTATACGTTTATCAGCACTGAGGAAAGATGGAGGGGTGGTGCTGAACCCCCCCCCCCATACCAAGCACAAGGAAGGACACAGAGGAGTACTAACCAAATTAGGGGGCAGAAGCCAGTCAACAAAAACAAGAAATCCTGAAGGTACCCCGACGACTTAACAAGCCACCCTTAGTCCCCGTAGGGTGGCGTTACAAACGGGACAGAACCGGAACTGTTGTGAAATCCAATAAATCATGGAGAATCAATGGTTATATCGATCGGTGTTAATATACGGTAGGACACTGAACGAGGGTTGTCCGTAAACTCGGAGTGACCAACCTTTTGGTGGACTTTAAATAAAGATACGTGTAACTGGATGGTAATACTCGTGGAATAGGGGTGGCAATAAGGTTGACTACTAACGGTGAGGTTAAACATTGCTGGCGGGACGCAAGGGGATGACGGAGTCAAGTAAAGAGGACAGGGAGTCGAAAGAGGGGGGCGAGTCAGGTTTCAAATATAAAGAAGGGGGGAGGGGGAGGTAAGAGAAGGGAAGACTAAGGGAATGAAAATTAACGTCGAAAATATTGCTAAGGGTGAGCTGAGGAGTTGGAGATGCCGAAGAGAACCTGGATAAAATGGCGGCTAGAAGGACGAGAGGGAGGAATGCCAGGAGCGAACAGAAACGGCAAAGGAGGAAAAAGGAAGAAGGTGTGGGTCGCTAGGGGTAGTTGGGGTAGTTGGGTACTCAGAAACTCGCGCAGAACCCCTAACGAGCTCTTTTCTTCTCTTCCTATTTATTTCTGTTCCTTATTTAACCGACCGACCTCTCGCTGGAACCCTCTGTCGTTTCATCCCCTTTTCACCGCATCATCTTCTTTTCTCCCATTCGCTCGAGTTTCATCCCCTATGCTCGCACTAGCCAACCTCCCTTGACCTTCACCACGTGGCGATTCACATGTGCGCAACCCTCGCGGTTCCACCCTCTATCGACGACCCGATGGGAACCACCCTCTATCATGGGAAGTTTTAATATTAGAATTGTCAATGGTTTGAAGGTCGATATACACGACAGAATGGTAATCACCGTGACATCAGATTGCGATAGTCATATCGCGATACGAGGGTAGTTTTTTGAAGAATTAAAAAATTCACAATTTTTTTGACTAATGCCATCTATCCGCGTGTCGCGGTATTAATATTAATAACTGCACGAAAATTTGCCCATCATGCCTTTACTATTGTTGACCGAACATTCCCAAAATTTGTGATATGGTTCAACAGGAACTTCTCCTTAGATAGCCTTGAGATCCTAATGCTAACAATTTGTTTTTTTGTAAATTCACCCCCATTTCAATTTATTCACATTTTGCCTCAGCTACACCCCCGTGCGTATTTTTCATCACCTTAAGAGGAGGAGAAAATATTGAAAGCGGCGGAGTCGGCGCTCCAACGAGCATTATTAATCAATTTTTCGTCTGAAGGGGTGGCTAGTGGTAGAGTGGTACCGGTTCTGCCGTTACAAAGGAGAGAAGGTTGGATAAGGTACGTCGTAGGGGGTTGTCGGTTGAGCCAAGTATGTTCCTGCATGCTCGTATGAAAGCGTCGAGTCGCAGAGGGTGGTAAAAAAAAGGGGGAAGGAAGAAGCAGAAGGGAGAGGAAAAAAATGGCGGTGCGACTTTGCCGCGCACGGTGACGTCGATGGGGTAGAGAAAAGGTGGGTGGGTGTGTGGAGTCTGGTTAGAGGAGCCGGGAGGCTTAGCGTCGGGGGGTGGGCGTCGCGACGCACGAATAAAAATGCCCCGTGCTTCAAGGGTGGATTGGGGTGCGCCAGGGGTTCAGGGAAGCAAGGGACTCCCGATGCTTTAGGGGTTGCGAAGGGTGGTGGATCTGGGTAGCACTCGAACGACTTGTGATCTGATCAATAAGCTGGCATAGGGGATTATTTTGCGACAGAGCTTGTGTGCGCGAGGGTGGGACCGAGCTAACCGTTGAGCGAAGTAAAAAAATTTACATAAAATTTTCGTCCACCCCTAAAACCACCACCATCGCGGAAGCAAGCAGTTTCCTCAGTCAAAGAAGGTCTCCTGACTTCCCATAGACACCATAGAGGATCCTGGATACACCCTTGGCCCATACTTCTAAAATCATAATTTCCATTGATCATCTCGCCCCCTCAAACTTTCATCCGCTCTCTCGACCTTTTTTTCTATCTCCTTACCACACCTAAAAGCTAACTCAACTTCTATATGCAGAGGCCGCACGCGTAGGTATACAACTACGGAAAATGAAATCCGAAAGGAATACGAAATGCCTAAATCCCTCGGTCTGCTTCTGCTTCCGAAATCTCTCTGACTCGGCTTGTTTGGATAAGCTTGCGGCTTCTCCACAGACTCGGTTGCCTGGTGGCAGTGCAAGAGGATAAGGGGTTCGGGGACAGAGTGGATTGAATGACTGGACTGTGAGAGAGGAACAGAGGGCGAGTGATAGGGAGAAGGACAGAGAGGGCAAAGACAGAAACATATATATATTGTACTTGAGCATTATGGGGAATTGAATTTTAAAGCACTATACACCCTTTTGCTCATAGAAACGTTCGTCATGCCATCCTGATGAATTATTCGTGTTCGCGTCCCACCTGAACGTTCCACGATACTCTACGAGACAAGAAGTGAAGTAGGGATCAGAGTGGCACGTAGGGAGGGAAAAAGAAGGGATGCTGAGAAGGGACAAGGAATATAGCTGATTTACCTTAACAGACACCGGTCGAGGTCGAGGACCTCATTCATCACCACTCTTTCTCTACCTTCTGCCTGGGTCCTCGCATGAACAGAGATCGGACCTTCAGATTTCTGAAACTGATCCTGAAGATCGGACGGATCCTTGTAATGAGGAAGGGAGGAGCAGAAGATTGGGTCCTGGTCTGGTTTACAAGACGTCCAGGTGGCGCTACGACGATTTTGGTATCCGTCCTGATGATGACATCAGATCTAACCTCAAATCATTATGTATCATCACATTTTTTTTTCTCATTAAATCTCGACTAAGATCAGGATGAAACGCAGTTGGATTTTTCTGGTACTGTACCTGCTCACGAGAAACCGGGTCTGGCTGAAGACCCGATGGCTTGGAAACTCATGGATACCATTCGTGCTTTGACAATAACAGAATAATTGGAGACTTTAAGGTGAGAGTACGGTCGCGGTAGATTGCAGGAAAAAATACCTGTGGAAGATCAAGAAAAGAGAAAGTGAGAAAAGAGAGAAACGAAGGGAGAGCAGAAAGTTGGGAAGCAACAGAGAGATAATTTACCAAGAGAAAATATCGCATTGTGTCTCTACTCAGAGCATTATTATATCCCACCCGGTATTATCCTTGGAGATACCAGAGTATACAGATGAAGAAAGAAAGAGAGAAAATTTCTCTTTGTGTCACGCACGATAATTCAGTAGAAATATGCCATCGTCCAAGCATCCCTGGATCATCTCTCGTCTAGGTATTATTGTGATGTATAATTTTTGAAAAATAATAAAATTCAGTTTAACCTAACCTACCCTAATTTTGCCGTCGTAAATACATTTTTCTTCCGATTATCTTCTAAGCACGTGTACTTACTTAAACTCCAAAGGCGCTAAACTGTATCGCCGAGGTGAAGGGGCACCCCCGACTCCTGTTAAAAAGAAATTTCATCTAATTAAGCAGCGGTCCACGGAGGGAGGAAAGTTTTATTATATCTTTTTACCTGGTCGTACTGAAATTCTCAAGGGGAAGCGAGGTACGTAAAGTGTATATGAAAAGTGAAAGAGAAAAATTTATTTGAGAAACAGGTGCCAGGACCTCTCGTGATTCGTCAGTGATTAAATGTCGAATGGTCCTCGGGTAGGAATTAATTTTAGTCCCTCGGTTGGTATTGAAATAAACGTTAGAGGGTGCCTGACGACGTCATGCCGTCTTTATATTAAAAATACAGTAATGAGTAAGGTACACCCCACAAACAAGCGACGAGCCCCCCTACCCCCAATCTCGTAGCATTGCACAACCGCCTCGTCGAAGTAACAAGGGATGATCGGGTTTTTGTGGGCTCGAAAGTTTTTGTCAGGATTGACAAAAAAAATTAATTCCCAAGTAAAAATTACATTTTAAGAGACAGATCCAGCTTCGGATCTTGTCTTCAACGTGTACCATATATATGTATATGACGATAATTAGCATACGAGAGTAGCGGAAAAAAGCAAAAATAAGAAACGGTATCGGATTCCAAGTCTGCCAATTAAATACCAGATAAAATAGACATTTGTAAAAAAAATATATGTCTCATAATACCAACATAACGTGACCGAAAGGTTTTTGAAATAAATTATATCGATATACCCTGTTCAGGGTAGTTTTTCAAAAGTCTGTTACCACCCTTTTGAAAGGGCACTCTACCCATGGTCATACCAAAGAGATGTCAGCTGTCCTAGATTAGAATCGCCATAGTGTTCTTTTTATTTTGAAAAACGACTACCATAAGCGATTACCTAAATTCCACGGGGTTCACGGTGTGTGATATATGAAGGATACGAAAATGGTCAGGATTCAGGATACCCAAAAGTTAAGAGACCGCATATGTCACGAAAATGTGACGTGAAAAAAAATGCAGATTAAAAGACAACATTGACCGTAACTCGGTAACCAAGGGAACTGAAGGACACTATTAATTTGTACCAACGTGCCCTCCGACCTGGAGAACCGTTATATTATTTTCTCGTGTACTCGAGAAATTCGCATGAGAAAATTGTCACGGTTCACATTGCCTAAGGCGAGAAGCGTCGTGACGGCGGAAAGAGGACGTCGCGTGGCGTCTCAATTAAATTTCGCTAAGTCCCTTTCAAACGTTACGACGAACTCGTGGAGGCATCGTCGCGTTATGGCACGAAAAAAAAGTACGACCCTAAACAAAGGATCTCTTGAACGAGGCTAACCGTATAAACGAAGTTGAGTACAAATGGTTTTTCGAGGCCGGGAACCCGCTCGGCGGTAAAGGTTTAGGTTGGGTTTTGAGTTATAAACCCAAGAAAGAAGCAGACCGAGCGGGCCGCGTGCTTTACTCTGAAACCTGTTATCCCAGGTCCGGGACTAATTACTTGATTGCGTAATTGCCTCCCGCCTCAGCCAGCGTCGGGCCTCGCCAACCCCCGCTGATATTCCACCCCACAGCTACCTCCGTTATTCCCCCTTGACGGCATCCAGGAAGCGAACCACCCTTCCGAAGCCACTCTTATGACCTCGAAATTACGAAAACCTCGGTTAAGATCTATTTAATTAACCCTCAAGTCGTACCCGTTGACCTCGTTCGATTAAAGTCAAATTGAGATTTTTTTAACAAATATTTTCAGGAAAATAAATGTAAAATAGCATTTTTTTTACGTAATACAATCTCCGAAAATTATGTTTCCTAATATGTGCCGGAACGTGTCCTATCAGAAAATGAGTTATCTGAGATATTTTAAAGATAGCATACTTATCGAGTATCATATAATATATTTATACATAAGGAGCTCTAAGGGTGTATGGCAGTAACGAAAATAGGGGTGAGTTTAAAGGTAGTTGGTATGCTATGGTATGGCATGGTTTGGTATAGTGGGTGGTAGTAAGCAGGGCATGGGTGCCCTATCTGACGTCGCTCATGGAGCTCGTTAGCGTTGCCAATGGCAACACCCTTGCTAACCTCTCTCTAACCCCAACCCCCGTTAGCCCACCCACCCCGTGACAGGCCACCCCCCGTAGCCCCGGGTAGAGCATACCCTCATCTTGAAGAGCACGAGAAAAAATACGTCGTGACGCATGCGTCAGCGCCATCGCAGGCCGTCTCACGTACGCGATTTCTTTCGGAAAGAATCAAAAGGGAGAAAAAAATATTTAACGAAAAAAAAAAAAACTATAAAAAAATTAACAATGAGTTTCCGCGAAATCTGCCAGAATCCGTACAATAGTGAAGGGGTGGAGCGATAACAGAACGGCGAACGAAATGTTTTCATGTAAAGAATTTTGTGGTAGGATGGAAATGAGAACCGGGAGTAAAAATATATAAATGATAAAAATAAATGAAGATAAAAAATACAACTCCCCAGGGTATTCCGTTAGCCATGACAATGTTCTGGGATTATGGGTAAGGGATTGGGTGGGAGGGGGGTTGGGGGTAATAAAAAATAGAAATAATAAAAAAAAAAAGAAAATTATCGGAATCGGCATCCAGTCCCAGGGAATTCTTGGACAATTTTAATATGACAATCCGCGATTTCTTCCTTCGGCGGGACTGAACTGATTTTAAGGGGTTGTAAAAGAGAGAGGGTAGGAGTGTACCAAGGGAGGTCTGTTGTTTCGCTAATTTTTATTCTCTCTCTCTCTCTCTCTTTCTCTCTCTCTCTCTCTCTCTCTCTCTCTCTCTTTCTCTCTTTCTTTCTCGTTCGGCCTCCACGATTTCCTGGCTCCTTTCGTCGCAGGAACGAAGAAACGGGATCGAAATTAATAACAAGTAATTCTTTATTGCGCTCAAAGATAAGACCAGTTGATATTAATAATGGCGTTCGGTAAAGCTACTGCGAAGATTTCATTAAAAAAAGAAAAAAGGAATGAGAGTATACGAAGTAAAAAGAACGTACACGGAGAGAGACGTTATAACCATAAGCCGCCAGCGACGGGATCCGCTTAGGGAATGTAATTAAAATCGGAAAAATGTGTTTAATGAATATTCATTTGTGTCTCTATCTCTGATATTAAACTCAAGTGCTCATATCGCGAAACGAATCGTCGGCTTTTTCCTGTCTCGCCCGTAGACACGTATATACACTCGTGGAATTCGTACAACGCATGGGATTCAAGAGTATTGCAATTCGCGTAAACGTGATTGGCATTTTACAAACGATGGGCACGTCAGTCCTGGCGAAAGAATAAGCTATATATATATATATATATATATATATTGCGTTGCCCTGCAAGCTAGGAAGGTAATTCGTAAGGTCGGATTCATTGAGAATCAAATAATGAAAATTTTTAAGTGAACAGGATTCAACGAGACTAATTTATTTATTTTATTCTTATCCCTCCCTCCCACCCTGCGACGCTCTCAAGAAGCTATAAAGGAATTCTCCCACGAGAGCAGCCATGATTTCTTCTTTTTTTTTAGCTGAAGCGCGAAATAACCCCGTGCGAAAGCGCGTCACGTACGAGGAACGGAGAGAGAGAGAGAGAGAGAGACAGGAAAGAAGAAGAAAGAAAGAATCAAAAGTATTCTCAATCCCCGTGGTGTTTCATCTTGATCGTATAAATCGGCCGTAGGGTAGCGAAGGGGATGGCAAAATTGTAAAACATTCGCCACCAAGGCGAACGCAAGCAATAGCTAAGCGAAAAGGGATGCGAAAGAGAGGGATGAAAAATGAAAGAATAGAAACAAAAAAAAAAGGAATAAGACGAAGGAGCAAAGGGCGATACCTATACGGTGTTACTTTACGAGGGCGAAAAAGTTTTATGTTATAAGGGTGGCGAAATATCGAAACGCAAAGTTTAAAGTTTGACGCGCAAGCGAGAGTGCCTTAAATAAAAAAGAAAGTTAAAGAAATTTAAATGCCAACGATTGGTAAAACTCAGGCACTTAAATGTCACCCGTTACCCGAGCAGATGGTATCGTAATTTTAGGTTAATTCACGTATCCTCAAACCTTCGTCGGAGCATCCACGGGACTATCGTCACGATCTACCTTACGATAACGAAGCAGCAGTGACCCTCACGTGGCGCAGAATGAACGCGAGACTTGAGTCGCTACCTTGAAAATCGTCCGCTCGGACGTGCTTAGTTTAATGATTCCACGCGAAACGCGATGCCGTTGACGAACTACAGATGCTGGAACATTTTACGCGCGTGAGGTGGAGATGCCGATACGAGGTATCCCTTACAGTACCCCTCGGAATAAATGAAACCAGACCCAATCCATATTCGTAATGGACCGGATCACCAAAAAACATAATAGAATCATAACAGAATCCACGAATACGTCTAATTGCGATTCAAAATACGTATACCGTTAGATCCGACGACAATTAGATCGTATATACATAAATAGACTGGATTCACGTGCGACGGTAAATACCAATCACGTTTCCACTCATCGCGAAATACCGAGTCATGATTGGCCCGAGCAATCTGTCGCGTAGCATGATCGGGCACATCGATCATAAAGACCCAAGGCAATTGACTCTTAGATTGGCAAACGATTGCTATAGCGTTAGTGGATGCCACGGTAAATGCAGTATCTTGTGGCGACGTCGCGGCGCAGCCCGTAATGATTCCCGAGGTCTTCGCCTCATTAGAACCGGAAACGGAAGCTAAGCAAGAGAAACGCCAGGAGTGTAAGTAGCGAGTGAAAGAAGGAAGAAACGGAAAGAAAAGTGAGTTGGGGAGGGTAGAGGGGGAGCATGAGTGGGGTACGTTTTTCTTTTCTTCCAGGGTGCGTTTATCTTCCATACCCTATTGATCCGTAAGTGGTGGTAGGAGGTGAAGGAAGGTGACGTAGGGGGCCGGGGGGGGGGAGGAAGCTATGTTGCCGGTGGTGAACTCCAAGGGATGGATGAGTGTACGTCGGTGTGAGGTGGGGCGGTAGGTTTCGTGGTGCAAAAAAGAAGAAAAAAAAAGAAGATGATGGAAAGAACGTCGTGGCTGAGGTAGGACCCACTCGCACGATTAGGTACAGAGACCCTAAAAACGGGACGTCACGAGGCCGCTTCTGGAATGAAATAATAATATTAAGATGGATAGGGAGCCGCTGTTGGGGGGGGG